AAATGCATGAATGAATGAATACATGATTGATTGATTGATTACTGTGACTTTAAAATGTAATACATAATAGGAATGACCCAGCATCAGTCAAATCTTCCATGCAAGCTATGAGGATTATATTACCAAAATCATTTAGTAATTTTCATTGTTGACATGGAAAATAGCAGATTATTGAAACAAAGTTTGTCTGAGTTGGTTCGATCATCACTGCCAGCAGTGATTATTAAATACAAGCTTATTAATCAGATTGTACTGTATTTCATAATCAGAGATTTTGTATGTCATGTATTTGTGAGAACTTTGAATGATGCACTGTTTGTACTGTTTGACTCTGTTATATTGAACTGTCAGTGAAAATTCAAGTCCATTCTGTCTTAAATTATTATTATTATATATTTATATATATATATAGGAATACATCTGTCTCTTGTTTCATTGTATTAGCCTGCTGCTTGGGTGTATGGGTGTTTCAGATATAATGGCTTCTGCATTCATTCTGAAATCTCCCCTACAGAAACTACTGTTTGGTACCAAGTCATGGTATCAGATGATAATACTAGGCTATTTTGATACTACAATATTTACATAGTACTACCTATGAAGTGCCACTGAAAGAAATAAAATAAATGAACTTATTAATTGAGGAAAGGGTAACACTTTTAAAATAAGGTTCAGTTGATTAACAATAGGTCTCATGAACTAACAATCAACAATGCCTTTACAGCATGTATAATTTAGTACTAATATACTATTATTAATTTAGGTATTCATATATTATTAATATAAACTAATACATGTTTACCAATGAAGTGTTACTGTGTTACTGTTCAAGTGTTACTGTGTTAATGAAACATTCAAGAGGGAAATTAATTGTGCCTATTAATAATGTTGCTTTTTTGCACACTCTTCCCATTGTTTTAGCAGGGGAATTATACAAAACAGGAGAATAATGCCGCAACACGCCCCAAAAAATCTGTACTGAATTCAGTTTACATGGCAATTTGCAATTTTGTAGGCGAGTTCTAGGTTGTGAAAGACCAAAATCTAGCATACAATTCTGGGACTGTACAGAATCACTTCACCATTGTAATTTAGGCACCTAACTCAAAGTGTGTTCATCATCACAGCATTTCTTGATGCATGCTTGGTTATAACACTCTTCTTCATAACCTGATGAACTACTGCTTTCATGATCAATAAAAAATTTGCACAGACATAAAAAAAGCTAAATAAATAAAAGTTAAGCTGCATGATTTCCCAAATGTAGAAAAATTATTATCATTATTATTATTATTATTAACTCATAACGTGCATTTAGCTTTTGGTTAAACTGGAATGCAGGTGCTTAGTGAAAAACGAAAGAAAGAAAGAAAGAAAGAAGTGAATTCACCGCTCAGTCTCCTCACTTCCTTTCAAATCTGAATGAATTCATCATATCTGCCTCCATATGTAGATGGCTACATATCTCTGTCAAACCAAGCATCGTTCATTTTAAAAAGGGAAAGAAACAGCCAAAAACATCATGATATTACAATTTTGTTTTAGCAACTCATTTTCACTTATTTAATTTATTCTTAAAATATTTCATAATAAAAAAGTATTTAATGTAAATGAATCTAAGACTTTCTGAACTGTCTCTGGAGGTGTCAAGACTTGGAGGTGAGCACTTTGCAAACAAACACAAGCACAAAAATCAATCTCAGAAAACCCAAACAGAAGGGGTTTTCTCCGAACCTTTACAATACAAAAGCTAAAAGCAGTTTCTATGACTGTAATATGTGGAACTGAATGTTCACCTTTCTGCAATAAATCATTGCTTTTTGTGTGTTTTGTCCATTTTCTTCCTTTTTAAGAACCTGTGGGAAAGTTGCTACTTGAGTTTGAACATAAACAGTAAGACAGGCCTGCATTATGGAGCAGAGCATTACCCACATTCTATATCTGTCATTTCCACAACGTTATTCATGTTAAATAAGGTTCTCTACAAAGGTACAACATATAAAACTGTTAAATATATAACTTGTAGGCCTTTCAAAATACATATAATGACATATTTCACTCCTGGTAATCAGAAATGACATTTTTTATGTTCCTTTTTTAATATTTTCTGACGTTAAACAATGGGGTACTCTTCCATTTAACCTTCCATGCTTAATGCAAACCATCCAAAATGTTGCTACTGAAAAATGCTAATTAAATTTGTTGACGTTTTTATGTGTACAGTATCTATATCCTTGTTATCCTTGGAATACAGTGGTTGATTCAGTTCAAGGAAATGCCTGTAAAGTATTAAAGGTTCTCCTCTGATTGTGATAAATGGGAATGGTTGACCAAGTCGTTTTAATTTTCCATGTCAGCGTTTCCATTTGTAGACCACTGCTGTATAACATAGTCTTTCTATATCTATCTATCTCTTTCTCTCTACATTTAGGTTTATATATATATTTATTTTTTCTTAGAATTTCTTATAATTTCTTTAGTCCGCGCTCATATAATCAATGCATTTTTTTTTTTCATTTGCGTATTATTTTTCCTCTTTGGTCTGTAAAAGATGAGCGCCAAAAACATCTTCCAGGAGAAAGCCGTTTCACAGAGCAGTTAGGTTCACAGTCTCGGATCAGGTCAGAACCACTGGTGGAGCCCCATAAAGCCTGTGTCTGGTTCAGTCTCAGACAGGGTAGGTGCCTCATTGTCCTGTGCTGCGCCCTTAAAGTCCTCAAGGCTCCTACTGTACCACCATCCGTGAGGCGCTTTGTGAACGTACAGTATGTTCTCCGTGGCACAAGGGGGTGCTGCCCATTTACAAAGCCGAGACACAGACAGGTAGGCAGAGGCAGGTGTTAAGCCGATGAGACATAGCAAGTATCTACAGCAGGTGGGCGAAGCTGCAAGAGGCCTCGTCTTGTAGCGCTCCAGGAACCCCTCCCACTGTTAGGACACCTAGATCAACCAGAAACACACAGGAAATCAAAATCAGTGGTGCAATTCCAGGGGTGTAGTGATAATGTAAAAAGTGGACTAATGTTGAGTTTGTTTGAATGTTTATTTATTTCAATCATGACAACTCTCGGAAGATTTTAGCATGGTGATGGTTATGACAATGTTAATGTATTTGGTCTTGGCGGAACAGATCTGCTACGCTGCTGCTGCTAAATTGCTGCTGCTGCTGGTTATTGCTGTAGTTGTAGATTATTGCTGCTGCTGCTGAATTGCTTCTGCTGTTGGTTATTGTTGTAGTTGTAGATTATTGCTGCTGCTGCAAGCAAGTACGGGAACTTGCTACTGCCAATGCAAACGGCGATACAGTGCTGTGAGTATTTAAGACAGTATTTACTGCTGCTGCACAAATAGCATATAAAATAAACCGTAGCAGATCTATACAGGTGGAGCTGGGGAAGGTGGTGGGTTTCAGAGGGACTCTGAAATCACGCTGCAAATGCTCAAGTGAACGCTAACCAGCCATTTAAATGTAAGGTAGCAAGCTCATTGGCTGTGTATGCAACATGAACCAATCAGCTTGTGCCAAGTTGTTTAACACTGTGAATATCATCAGTTACGTTAATACCCGTCAGCCTGCGCCATCTACTGTTTCATGACTGAACTATACATTTATTTAATAAAATAGTTTTGGGAACTGCAAAAGAAGGTGCTTGCAGTATCTTTACATTTAGAGCACTGGCTATCCTACCAGTTGGCAGAAGTCTCTAATTGTTTTTAAAATGGTTGATTTACGTAGTTTTTTTTTCCCACTCAAAAATGAAAATATCATTTGCTCACCCTCATGCCATCACAGATGTATGACTTTCTTACTTCTTTGGAGCACAAACTAAGATTTTTAGAAAAATAACCCATCTCTGTGAGTCCATATAAAGCAGGGGGATGAAACGCTCAAAACTGACACTTCAAAAACTATGCAAAACACAAATGTGGATGTTGGGTCAAATGGTTCTCGTTTAACCGTTCCATTCCATGGCAATCTGGCTCAGTCAGTCCAGATATGGATTCATTTTTCACTCTGGGGCTGATAACAGAGCTCTTTGGAATGTATTACAGTGCTTTGGTAACACAAAAGCTTATAGATGGTATGAGAAGAGCAAAGCAACTATGATCAGATCAGATATTTCTGTTTTCAGGACTGTACATCTGAGATGACAACAGGGTGACTAAATGAGAGAATTTTATTTTTGAGGTGGAAAACTCCTGTAAAATGTAAGTATTTTTTAATGTTGTTAACAAAAAATTCAGGTGACTAGTTAGCCTGACCAAGCTAATGTTTTGATGGTTTAGCTGGTCGTCTAGCTGGTCTCTAGTCAATTCTAACCAGCTATCAAGTGCCTAACAGAGAAAAAAACATAAAGCAGACAACATTCCATGGCAATCTGGCTCAGTCAGAACTTAAGACATTTTTCTATACGAGACAAGTGGCTCTGGTCAATAGGCCTGGTGCAAGAATAATCCATTTGAACGTGTGATGCTCAAATGGATTATGATGTTCAAAGATATTACAATCCTGTTGTAATCGAGCTAATACTTGAAAACTGTTGCATTTCTGAGCACCTGCCATGGAAAACGCTCAGCACCATCTGCTAAATGGTCTACTGCCAGGCCGAAAAAAGGCACCAAATGCTGCCAACATGGGCTGCTGCTTAATTTATAATAATGAACTCTTGACACTTGCATAGGGAGCAGATATTCATGGATTTAGCAGGTGCTGAAAACATTACTAAGTCTGAATCCGGAACAACAGAGATAATCAGGATGAAAATGAACTCAGGAAAGTGATAAAATGACCCAAGAGTGTAGATGTTGAGGACAAAAGTGTGCTATTGCTAATACACTGGAGCAATGTAGCTGCTAGCTCCTGCTTCAGAATCTTATTACTCTAGCAAAATGTTAGCAATTGGATTACATATGCATTACTGCAAACTTTAACAAAGATTAACTAAAATCTCTAGAGTATTGCTAGAGCAGGGACAATTTCAAGCAAGATTTTGTTTGTCCATACAGTATGCAGTTTACTTTGACTTAGATTGTAAAGAGAAATTATTTTTGGCTTAAAGGAATATTTTCCTCCTCACATGACTTCACTCTTACCTACTAACCTACTGGCAGAGGCTGGCCAAAATAAATTTTATTTATTTATTTTTTTCTAAGATTTAAATAAAAACAAAAAAATGCTGGAGTAAGTTTACAAGAAAATACTATTTCAGTCTTTCTACCTCCAAATTTTACATTTAATTAAATGTTTAATTTGAATTAAATGTGTGAAATTTACTAGCAATTTCTGAATTAATATATGCATGCTATTCTTTGACTTCCACAAAGGCAATTTTTTAGCACAAACGTAGAAAGTGTACAAGGTAAGCAGTGAAAATGAAGGCTTGCAAAAAAAACAAAAAACAACATTATACATCATACATTAAAGAAAAATCATGCACTGCATTTATACATCAAGGAGACTTTACTGTCTTGAGATGATTTTGTTAAATTTATATTAAAGTCATTTAAACTAATGCATCATGATGACAAGCTCTAGTCTCATATTTGGCTGGACTTCCAAGTTTGACCATATCCTGGACAAGGTAAACAACGTTTACAGGGAAATAATAATAATAATAATAAAAAAAAAAACTCAGGAGACAGCAAACAAAGAATGATAAACTATTATTACTATTATTATGCACAAAACAAATGACAAATAAATTAAATAAAACAAAGAAAAAAGAAAAATTAAATTAAAATATTTAAATCATGAATGCAAGAACAGAGAATGTAAGAAAATGCAAGAGAATATGATTTACAATATTTCCAAATATGTGTGTAACGCCCCTGTGGACTGTTTATTGTGGTTTCTTCCCCTTTTGTTGGTTTAGCCAGTACTAATCATCAGTTAATCACCTCATTGTGCTCACCTGTCTGCCCCTCGTTATCTGCCCTATATTCTAAGTAAAGTATAGTGGCATCTTTCCCCTCGTTTGTTTTTCCGGTTTTTGTCCGTTTTTATTTTTATGTTATGGATTACCCCGCCTTCCAAATCCTCCTGAAGCCCCGCGGCTGAGAAGAGGATTGCCTCGGATATTGAGCCCCACACGTCAGACCAGGTGTGAGAGCCGGCAACAGTGCCCATCACGGAGGAACAAGCCGTAGACGAGGAGAGTAGAGGAGGGATAGCTGCCGACTCCTGCATCACGGCTGAGGGTGAGCTGACTATGGCGGGACATAAGGGCCAGAATATGGAGGGAGGTCAGTGTCAAAATGAGGAGGAGAGACCTCGGAATCCTCAGTTTAGCCCAGGAAGGGCTCTCGTCGTCCTGCCTGCCTCCACACACCTTGTCGTGACAATGTGATTTCAACAAACTATTCTGAATCGGTCAAATGAACATTACTTGAATATTCAATATTCTTACCCAGCCCTATTCAGAGGCAGTGCCACATTTATTTAATCTATGAGGATTCCACTTGGGTGATGTGATAAACAAGCTCTTGGCTGCATCTGGACCTCTCAGCTGAATCTGGACCTTTTATATTTACTTTACTGTCTAAATTTGCTAAACTTTGTATACCATTCATGTTTTGGAGAGGCTAAAGTCAGAACACACAAAACTGCTAAATATCATTCAGACAGAAAGCTGAGATGATTGGAAAGTGATACATATTTGCTGAACCCAGCAGTATCTATCAGAAGTAATAATGTCGGTGTAGTGTGAAGGGTTTGAGTGTGTTAAATTCTCTCTGGCAGAATATGTAGCTTTGCCCCCTTGAGGGAAATTCATGTAGCCGTTCAAAGCTATAACTGGATTTATCTTAATCATCCTTTTCATGTTGCATTTTCCAATAAACATCTAGGGAATTGCAGTATCACAGCTCCATATGAAGAAATTAATCACATAAAATAGCTGAGGGATTGTGTAATACGTAGTAGTTGTTTCATTAATAATTATATACAGAACAGACTGGTTCTCTTTTGAGGTGCCATAGCATTGTACATGCCAATTTTTAACTTGCATTTCTCACAGTCTGTTTTCAGATGATGTCGGCTCATGTAGCACCATGAAATTCCAGCCAGTTTTGCAAACAGCAGTAACAAAAAATACTGTTTAAATAAATAAATAAATACATACATACATACATACATAAATAAATAAATGCAAACTTGTGAAAACTATTGAAAAATCACATTGGGAAAAAAATAATTAAAAAAATGAATGAATGAATGAATTAATAAAAAAATAAATGGATTCCTCATCTGATGTGAGTTTAAAATTAAACACGTTTTGGCTCAAAACTAAAGCTTAATTTATACTGTACTGTATATAAATATGACATTTTGTTTGGTGACAGTAGCAATGAAGGCTCAAAATAAGAGCTACTCAACAGTACCACGTCTCTTTTAACAAATTTCTCAGGCTGGTACTTGGAAAAGACTCATTTGGCAGCTTGAAATAGGAGGTTGGCAAGGCACTGTAACAATGAAACCTTGTAATGGCTGCCTGGATTGTCTGGGTAAAATAGCCAGCTTGGGCACTGAGAGATAGAGAAGAATGGCACCAGCACTTTAGAAACCATCCGTTTAGTTCGACAAAACCGTCATTTGACTAAACACATACATTCTTTTCAGATTTCTTTTAGTTCTTATAAATACTGCATGATGTTAAAACATGACCCAGTCACAAGTAAATGGTGAATGTTCTCGGATTCAAAATGGAAGTTTTTGGTGACCAGTGCTGACTTGGATCCTTTAGACAGGAGCTGGCAGTGGGCGCTAATGGTTTACAGAGGCTGAGTGCTTGCACGGAGGAGCAGCTGTAGTTTCCATGGTGATGTTGTCCAAGCCCAGGCAAGGATGTGTCCTATGGTCCCACGCTGGCGCATTGGGATCAATTACATAGACCCCAACACCCACAGTGGCAATGCCTTGGCATGTGTCATCCACGACCTCC